CTAGACATTCGTTCCTTGCCACTATCCACACTTCATTTCACTTAATCTGAGTACAGTTTGAAAGGTTTCTAAACTTCACAATTCATTAAAACCACTATGAATATTTATCACAAATTACAAGCAGAACATCATGCTATTGCGTAACATGGACATGAAGTGAAAGCTATATTGCCCCATTCTGTATGTATTGCATCTCCTACAATATTTTCTTCTTCAAACTTTTTCATTTTCTCAGAAACTTTTTCTCCAGAACAATTAAAGATCCCCAGTTATGTCAGTAGGTGTTGGGACGAACAGCAGGAACGATACCTATAATAACCTCTAAACTTCATAGGGACAGTACTTTGTCACATAAAAGCAAATAAAATCTTCAGGCAATCTGCTCTGAGAGTAAGCTGCCTTTTGTGTGTGGGAAGGGGCAACTGAACTAGCTTAATTTTTACTTCCACCACAGTAGAGTAGCTTAAGTATACAACTGCATACTTGTATTTATATAAGCATTTTCTGGTTTGCCATTATACTTTTCAAAACTTAACAACAGTATTCAACTCTGTTCAAGGTAAGTGGTGGCAATTTTCCTGTAAAGTGACAGGAAAGTTGTATGAAAAAACAACAAAGTAATGTCAACCAAGAAGTGGTTTCGCAAGAGTTTGTTTCAGAAATTCTGATGAACTTGTTAGAAATTCCAAAGAGCTGTATTCCGGGAACAGGCAAGCTGTTAGTGGTCCATTCCTTACAGCCTTACTCTCAATGTCTAGAGAGAAGCAAAGGGAAGGAAGGGATTCTTCACCCTAAAAGAATCAGCTTAATGAAAACTTAAAAAAAAAAAATAAAAAAAAATCCCAGTCTTATTGTTTGGGAGCACCCCATACACCACCCTTTACTCTGGCACATGTAAGTTCCTTCCAAAAGGTAAACACTACAGGTGGCTGTTCTGGGAAGGCCGCAAAGTTGTACGTGCTGTGTTCTACTCTCTTAAACAGACCAGCTCTCTTCAGTAGCGATTTAAACACCAGTAACTAATTTTAGGTATTATATAAAAGAAAATCTTGGCAGGCATGTGCCATTAATTGTATTTAGTTATTTTATTTTCACTATCCAAACTCAAAAGAAATGCACAGTTAAGTTTCAGGTATGGATACAGAGTTTTCTAAAAAATATCCCTTTCACGTTCTTATCAGTAAACCATGAGTTCAAATGTTTGCCATCTGACAACAAGTTGCAGGTGTTTTCTCCCCACTCCTAAGGGACGACTTCTACTTTAATATAAAGTACTGTAAAACTCTTATTCAAAAAGCATTATTCAGAAAAAGCTTCTTAGCCAAACACCTTTTCAAAATTGCTGTCTGGCATGGCACAATCTTAAGCAGTTTCTTTTGGTATAGTAATTCTTGTATTTTTCAGTCAGGTTAGGTCTCTGAATATTTTAGTTTTAAGGCAGACAGTACACAGTTTAGAAACATATTAGCACATGTTTGTTATGGTACGGCATTTTCAGTAGACATCAGTTTTTAATAAATCATTGTGCATTTCACATTTCAGAAAGCTTCTTCAGTGTTGAACATCAACCTTTTTCCATCAGTCTTGTTCTTCTACGCTTCTACTTTTGGTCTCAGGACTCTATCCTCCAGGTCTGTGATCACACACTCCTGAAAAGCTTGCTTTCTGTACACAGCAGTTACATCTCTTCATACTTCATACAGAAACATCTTTTCCCACACATTTGAAGGCAGTCGGTCAACACCTCAACTAAATGCAACAATTAAACACTTAATTTCTGGAAAAAAAAATATTTTTAACATATCTTTTTACAGTTATATTCATCTGTACATTTAGTAATAATTATCTCAACTATGGAATCTTTTAATCAATACTAGGACTTGACAAGCATAAGGGTTTCTTTTCCCGAAAATTAATTCCTCCTCTGGCTTATTACATGACTGTCGCAAGGTTGTGGAATATATTTAAAAACTAATTTTGAAACTTAACATACTTATACTGATAGACAAGAAATCAATATCACACTAGACAATACTCGTTTGCAGAGGTTCTATAAGATTTATTGTGCACTTACAGAAAAATTCTTTGACTTCAAATATAAGTGCAAAGCAGTAGTTAATATTTTAATTCTACACCATAGCAGCAGTCATGTATGCATAAACCAGCACTTTTTCCACAAAAAATCACAGCATTTCGGATAGCATAATGATTACACTAAGGTATAACATATGAAATGCCAACTGAAGAATGTTTGTAAAACAAAGGACTGAGTCTGTTAATGTAAAGGCTATATAAAAATACGGCATTATACAATGCTACTGTAGATTTGAGAGCTTTTGAAATGCAGTGGGTTTTTTGTTTGTTTTTTTAAAAAGGTTACTACAATTGGCAGTATCAAATTCAGCAACATCACTGCATTTACATCCTCAACAGCTTTTTGAGAAAACCATTTGGTCTGCTCCAGGACCTAAACATTGTCGCTGCAGATGATCACATATCCCCTGAGAGTCGAAAGCACTACTTGGTCCTATACACCCAGCTAAGAATGCTCCTCCTGAATGATCAAGCCTTTTGCAGACAGACAGACTTGTTACAAAAGACTGTATGTCCCTGACCAACAGCACAAAATTATACTGCAGTGTAAAGATATGGCTTTCTCTCAAAATTATAAAGTATTGAAGTAAAAAAAAAATTCCACAAGACACTTCAAAATTATCCTTGAGTTCAATACTATATTTATGCAATCAAATAGACTATGTAATCAGTCATACTGTAGTAGGACAAGAAAAAGACTTTTTATTCACTTGGAAAAATAGCAGACTGGAAGATCTCTTCATTGCATTACACAAACTTCCCTGAGAATTTTACTTAAATTATGTTTAGTCTACTATATATTGGAAACCAGTTAGCTACTGAGTGTCATACACTGCAAATTTTACACAATTCCTGTATATGTTATCCCAGCTAAATTGCTGTTTCAAAGCTTTAAAGCTTTGTCTTTTTTACAAAAGTACGTACACACAACCGAGACCACAAATGCAAAGACATCTTTTGCACTAAATTTAAGATCTTCAAAGCAATGTACAGAAGTAGAAAAAACAGATGTTAAGTTGAACAAAGCACTTTAAAGTTCTTTGCAGCTTATAAACTAATTGTGGAATTAGTTTTAAGAATTATCCAATGCAAGTGCTTGGTGGCAAGAAAACAACAGAAATATTATTAAATGCAATGGGCAGAAAGAGGACTGATGCTGTCCTCCCTATTTAGCAATCCCCAGTATTTTAAAAATCATAAATTTGTATGAGTGATTGTGGGAGAGAAACATCACAGTGGTACAAAACATTGCTATACTGGCACTATCTTACACTAAGTAAGGGTTTTTTTAATTTTTTATTTTTTATTTTAAAGTTGAGGTACTTAAAACTTCTGATAAGATGGATGTAGTTAACTACAAATCTTAAGCACGCTCCACTGTGAAAGTAACTCTTCTGTTTCACTGAGTCACTGCCACAAATTCTGACAACAAACACTTCATTTTAAATACAAATCTGGCTGTCAGGTCAGTTTGCCAAGCTGTATATCCCCTTAATTGAACTTCTCTCAGTAGAAGTCCAAGAAGAAAAAGCACTGTACTTTGCAAACAATAATGCTTCAGTAAAAACAAACAAAAAAGATTATTTGAACTAATAATAAACAAAACCTGCAACTTTACTGTTTTGATATATGAGATTATCCCCAAGTTTTATGCCCGGAGGCAAAACCGAAGAGTTGTCTTGTCCATAAATTTTTGTTCGACTTCTTTCAAAAGCCGAATTACACAGCATAAGCAATCTGTTCAGGTAGCTCTCATCTCCTTCCAGTTCTCAGTAACTGGAATTGTGTCATTGTCCCCCGCTGAGTGTGGAGCAATTGCACTTGTAATTCCTCCTTCCGAATAGTCTTATGTTGGGTATTACCACAGGAAGAAATAGGAGGTAACTTGGGCCACGTCATTACAAAACAGACTTGATGTGGTTGTGACAGGCTGTATCAGACACTGGGCCATGAGCATTCTGTTTTGTGTACTGGAAGGAAGGTATAAGGTGATCATCTTAACACCAAGTGAGGGACTGTGAAATGGAGGGCATTTTCTAGATTTTTAATTCTGCTTTAAAAAGTTCCCAATTTATAGATACACTTACGACTGCATGAAAATTGCAAAGATGGAAAGAATAAAAGAGCAGCATTTAAAAGCAGTATGTTTAGCTTTTTCATATTCAGAAACAAACTGAAGACACTGCCTTGTATAAAATGGCTTCATTTCTACTCATTGTCACTGTATCTTCAATTATATAAAAGGGAATCTAACACTCAGAGGAAAAGAAGAGTAAGAAAAACTGGATGATATATTTGCTTTTTCATTATAAATTAAAATTTTCAGAGGCACAAGTAGTTTTTCTGTCTCTCCAAATTAGAGAACAATTTGCTCCCTTTCCGTCAAAATACCTACAGTACATCACACAGCCTACTGTACCTCTTTGCATATATTGCTGGCTGATAACTGATTCAGACAGGCACATTAAAAGTTTCTGGGTTACATAACCACGTCTGTTTTTGTTATACAGAGAAGCCATTTCTGCATCAAGAATGAAAAAACTATAAAACTGTATTAACAAACACAAGCCCTTGTGCAACACACAAAATAGGGTGCCAAGTCACTATATACTCAGTGTGAAAAGACTAGAAGTCTCTTCTGTGCATCTCCATTTCAATAAGGAAACACACTGTCTTTTCATCTTTTGTTCTCACCACATTTTAACTCACCTCTTTTTTTGCATTGCCAAGTAAGGCAAATAATGGTGTTGTAGACTGACCATATATTAGATTATTTTATTTAGAAAAATAATTTCTCTCCCTATTGAAAATTTCAACATGTTCTCATAGTAACAAATATATCCTGATAAAGAAAACCAGCAGGATTCCTCAGTATGCAGATTGAGATAGGATATTTGCCACATAGATTTTACTTCCAGCAAAGGTAAGATGCACATGTGTACATATGTCAACTATACACAGCAGACCAAGTACATTTTGTTCTGCATTCCAACACATCCTCTGAAGGAGGGACAGTTTTCTCATCCACCCTTGCTGTCCCTTATATGATCCACTCGCTGAGCAAGATCCCTAAAGGTGGGGCGCTGGGTAACGTTATTGTTCCAGCATTCTTTCATGATAGCATAAATCTAGAGAAGAAATAAAGAAAATTGGTATTAGGTAAACAGATGCTACAAACAGTTAATAGTTAAGTTAATTTGAACTGGTCCAAAGAACATCCAACTTAACTTCATGCTTCCAAGCAACAGCGGCACAGGAGTGTGCCTGAAGTCCTGCTATACCAATCAATTTATCTGCTTGATTCCAATGACAGCAAGAAGTGAGGTTAGCTAGCTCTGTAAACGTCCTTATAAAAGGAGACTTGTTTTCTTTTTTAGTTAGTGTGGAAATTCACTGAGCTAGTTTTTGGAACTTTTAAGAGATGTTCTTTTGCTAAGTTTTTATCTACTTGCTTGCTCTTAATTTCTGGAAAGCTCAAAAATGTTAAAAACAACAAATGCTTCAGAACTCTGACCAAGAATCAGATTTACAAAGACAGCAACTGTAAACTAAGCTTCCCCTGCAATGTTAACATACACTTCTCCATATCTGTATATTAAATTAACTATCATTTGTATATAATCAGAAATAAGCCAGAAAAGTTACTGTGCAAACTGAAGCCATGTTCAGTAGAAGTAGATTTATGTGATTTTTGGAAGAGATTTCCATTACAATAGGCATTTGGCAACAGTTTTCTGTTTTCCCAAACATGTACCTGATACCCAGTCACAAAACAACTTGCCAAGCTCTTCACCTGTACTCTTCTCACTAATCTAACCCAGATCATCTATTATCAACTTTTCATACTTTCAACAATTTTCTACATATTGCTTAAGAACTATCTTCACAGCTCCCAGGAAAAAAAAGTAACATCAGTTCCTTATTTTTCAGCAAATCTGAAACTCCTGCATTGACCAAGCTGCTTTAGACCCAAGTCTCAAGCAGCTTGTAGACTATAGACGTCTGGAAGATTTAGTATCTGTGATGACTGGCCTTTCAGGATCAGAACAGGAAGAGCACAGTTTCTGACAAGAGAGAGACATTTCCATCTTGCTTTGATACCTGAAGAAATGTCAGACACTGAAACCTTTGCATTAGTTTTGATACAGTTTCAGTAGAACAGATTATGTATTATCTTATACATATGACATTCAGGCTATCTACAAAAAGCCAAACCGTTGCAATCCAACAATTGCTGTACTCATACATACAATGCAAGAAAGGTTATTTCAGAGACTTCTCTTTTGATTCTCTATAGACTGTTTCTTCCCCCATGGCTTCCCTGCCCCACCTGTACCATTCTTTCTCTTCTCTGCTAGACCACTTGACCCTGATCCCTCCCCTGTCTCCAGCTTTGAATGGATTATTTCTTGACTTACTGCCCAATGTGCTTGATTTTAAAGGAATGCAGCAACTGATATGAGCTAAAAATTATACATGTTAAAAAGCGTAACTTTTTTACTTACATTCTTTCCCTTCCTGACTCACCTACCCAGCAGCCCTACTAGTTCAACTCAAGATGAATTGCACCCTGCTCTGAAGAACAGAGCGCTACACGACTTTGAAGTAGTATGGAAGCATTTTTTAAAACATCTGTAGCATTAGCAAAAAACAAAGGAACGCTGAATTAATTTGCGTGCTCTGTGGATGGCTTTACATACATACGCACTTCAGTATCTATGAAGAATGTGAATACAAATCTGAAGACCCTGAACATACAAAATCTGATTCATATACTTAACTGTGCCTACAGTCTGCAGGTAGCTCTTGGATGAGAATGCTTGACAAGTGAATAATATACTTGATAAACACGGGTATTTCTACGCTTGAGGAGGGAACAGCAAGAGAAGGAAAATAATCTTTAAATCTTGGAATTAAATATGAAAAACCTTACGTAGATATTAAGATACTTCTGCTAAATGTTACAGACTTCAAGAGAACCCACAGTTCACAGCTTTTAACAAGAATCTCTATATGGGACTTCCATGGAACAAGTTTATATACTGATCTCACTAGCTTAGTAAATTTATATTTTTTTAAATAGAAGCCTGAGTGCCCCAATACAGCAGTCAGTCATCATAGGAAAGGCTACATTCTAGACTCCTGAGGGAATGCAATCTAAAGAATCAGACAAGAAATATGATTATACTCATCATGCAACTGATAGAACAACACCACAGCCATTCCGCTTGTATAAACACTTTGGTAATCCAAGCAAAACGAAACACAAGGTTTGCACTGACCAGGTACTCACCCTGACTGAACACCTTTCAGACCATAGCAACATATTAATACAATACTTCACCTCATCAGGACATCCATCTGGTCTTGGTAGTCGTCCATTATTCTTCAAAAGCTCTATCAAATGAAACACAATCATCTGCCCTTGTTTATCATTGCCAATCATGCGCATGAATTCCTGAAATAGAAGGCCGACTGTGATAAATAAATTTTTAAAAACAAAGATGCTGCAATATTCTTACCAAAGGAAAATACTTTATAAGAAGAATAAATAATAACTAGTATATAGCAATGATAAAAATAGGATATACATACACAACTTAATAAGTGAAAAATCTTAAAACCTGTTGATCACCGCCTGATGATTAACTAGTTTTAAAAGCAAAAACCTTACAGCTAAGTCTAAAGAGCTACCCAAAACCTTATACATGATCTTGATGCTTTGAAAAATACACGTCAAATAGAAAACAGATAAAATGATACTGATGGAAGAAGAAGAAGAAAAAAAATTAACTACAGGTCAGAAACAGCAGCATAATTAAAGCCAACAAAAATGGCTTAGCTAAATCTTGCTATCCAAAAATGAGTATAATCCAAAATGTAGATTAAAATCTCATTCAGATTGCCAGAGATGAAAAGCAAGTGAGGAAGTACTATTAACCGAAAATAATTTTGAAGCACAACATAAAGGAATTATTTTCTTCCAATGCTACAGAAATTTCTTTAATGACCCTTGACATAAAAATGTGAAATAACTATTTGTAGAATGTGCAAATGGCTAGAGCTGGGGAAACAATACATAATTATAAAGACTACGACAGTTAAACAGACCGCTTTGGCTAATTGATAAAACTAATTTTTCTTGATACATACCAATAGGATAACCCACCTGATGAAGCAGTGAATGCACACGCAGAGTTGATTTATTCAAAGCATATTCCACCTGAGCCCATGACTTGCTCTACCCCTTTCATAATCCTTCTGAAGAACTCCAGGTGTCTGCAGTGTTTATGTCATTACACAGCAAGAGCTGCCCCTGCCTTAAGAGCTCTTCCTTCATAGCTTAGTTACTGTACCAAAGTACTAAGAGATCCACTGAAGTCAACACAAAGATCTTCCAAGTGAATTTTTGCCTATCGTCTTTGCTCAGCTCTGAAAACTACATTTGCCAGGACTGAGATGCTGGCAAAGGGTGAGAACAGCTCCAGTAAATATGTAAGGCTCAAGTCTCCTCTTTTATGCCTGCAGAGCACAGCTAGACATAATTAAGATCGTGATCGGTGCCTGCCAACAGTCTGCAAAAAGCCCCTCCCTTCCTTTCTTGAACATCAATAACTTACTAATTTAGGTTCTGCTAACGAAACAAAATAACTTTGAGTTACCTTATTCAAATTAACTTACTGTTAACGTATTTGTTTGGCTTAGCCTTAGATTTAGAATGACATTTAAAAAATACATGTCATGGTGCAGTGAAACAGTTGCATCTGGCATTACTCTCCACAGAGGACAAGAAAGAACAATCCATAATGAGAGATCCTAAAATCTTTTTCAAACGGTTAGGAGTTGCAGGATGGATATGATCTGCACAAACTATCAAGTAATTTTCAGCTCTCCATTCCTCCTTATGGCTTGATATTACTACTTTTTACTGTGTTTGTTCTTCTGACTGGATGCTGCCTCTTAAACACTAAGGTATCTCCAGAAAGGAATCAGTAAATATCAACCTATTTATGTATAGGAACAAGCTATATATTTTTGAAAATTTAAATAAACAAACAAAAAAACCTCTGAGAACTATTAACTATGTACTTACAGCTGGTGGACTTTTGCTCTTGTCAATATATGTGAAGAGTTCATACAAGACCACACCAAAACTCCACACATCTGAGGCCACAGAAAACTTGCTTTCTGTCAGAGATTCTGGAGCATACCTGCAACACATGGTAAAAGGAATATTCTTCTGTGTGATGTGTCTTTTTGGTCTTGAAGATATTTCTTTTAATGACACTGATTTTTTTCCATGAATAAGTGGTTTTTGTTCATAGACATTAGCACATTCTCATTTCCTTCCACTGCCTGCACTAACAACTATTCTTTTAGTAATAGTTAATTGGCATTGAAAACACAAACCACTTTAAACAAACACAGTTAGTCATAACTATATCCAAGTTTGTTTTTTCCCCAACAAAGTTGTAGATATTTTTCTTGTCTGTAGTGCTAGCAGAGAAGACTTTGATGCGATAAAGCCTGAAAAGAAAGACAATTATAGCCATTAAGCATCCTTCCATCACTTTCAGGAAGCCTTGAACTGTATCCCAAGTATTCCAGGACTTAAATTTTACAGCTCCCAATAACATCTACTAAGATGCCATTTTGTATCACTTATCCTTTAAATATGACTTCTTTACAGTGCTAAAGCAGACTAAAAATACAGACTAAAATCACACGTATGGAACAGCATTTTCTTTTGCTATCAGAACATAAAATATTTTTTATCACAGTTATCTGCCAGCGTATTTTCTAAAGGTAATTCTATGTCTTTATAGAACAGAACTGAAGTATGTATTTTGTATTCTGAATACAGTCTACCAATATCCACTTCACAATCCTTCAGTCTCCCACAGTCTATACAGAGTGCTCTTTTCCTTTCCAAGCTAAGTGCACCTCGTTGGAGCATTACTCTGTTTTGTTGTAACTTAAGCCCAAATACAGACATTCACCTGAATATTCAGCCCAGCACTTCATCCTTGCTAATTACAGTCTGTGGGATTTAATTCCCCTTGGTCTACAGAGAGTCTGTCCAACAGATCTCAGCTAGAAGATGTGAATGACCAGTGTTTAGGGAACTGAAAGGTCCAAACCTTTGAAAGCACCCTGGGAAACGAGTCCTTTTACATTTCCTTTATCTTCGATTATCTTTCCCGTTGCATTCTATTTCTTTTAAATATTTTGGTAATATTTAGTTGTTTGGTGGTTTTTTTTTTTAGTATGTTTAAAAGTCCACAGTTACACACTGTTCTGTAAAGTCAAACATTATGCATGTGACTTTAACAATGCTGGGCAACTGACTTGGAGTTTGCACTTAAAAATTCCACAGTATGCTAAACAATTGTCAGAAACTGCAAAAACTGAAAACATATAATGATTTCATACACCAAGAGAAGACTTACCAAAATATAGGGCTTTCACCAGGTTCTTTTACTTTGTAGTATTCCTTGTCTTGTGGCAAGACTTTCGTCAATCCAAAATCTCCAATTTTAACTCTGTTCTCATTCTCCACTAAGATATTTCTGGTTGCTAAATCCCGGTGAACATATCTTTTTGTACCCAGATACTCCATGCCCTAGATGAAAAGTTCACAAACACAACAGGAAAAAAGTTACTTTTACCATTAAGCAGCTGCACTTTCCCTAAAGTGATGAATTAATCTCAAAGTTAAAACCAAACACACACTGTTACCAAAACTGGTATGCTTAAACATTTGTCTTCTCTGAGGAGTTACCTCTTCCAAGTGCAACAACTTCCCTTAACTGAAGCAAGATGAGACTGAGCACCTCTCAGAGCCAAGTGGTTTTTGATGACATAGCTGGATAGCTGTTACAGCTCCTTTCTGTGGCCAAATGCAGTTTGCCAGTGACAGACAGAAGGAAAATAAAATCTGGGCTAAGCTACACAGTCCAGGGCAGATAAGACGACCATCCTATCTATCCATTTCGCTTAAGCTTTTTACATCTGCTTTCCCGTTTGCTTTATGAAACTTTATGATTCCTTGAATTTGACAACTCTGACTGTACTCCCACCTGCGTGTCTTGTTTCTCTTCTATGGATCATTACTCACCAACACAGTTCTGCTTATTACTGTATTTTCACGGGTTGCTGTAACAAAGTGTTGGTCCAAAGCCATGTCGTCTTTTGCTAGTGCGGATGTCTCCTTATCAACACACCTAATTCTTCTTGCTAACGATGAAACGTGGAAGAAGCCAGCGTGGGTAGTGGCATTACTAAAAGAAGGTCTTGCTTATACAGCAATAAATGATGGATGGACAGAAGCTGACACTGCACCATGTCAAGAGACACCTGATACACACGGAATGAAGCACAAAGCAAGCCGCCAG